AAAAAATTTTTTTTCTCTCTCTCTCACACACAGGTCTTTTTTTTTAGAGAGCTAAAGGAAATCCAAGTTTAGTTGCATTGCTGCACGCAATCGTGCGTATAAATGACTGCCTTTGTTCTGCGTTATATTCGCCAGCAGGAAACGTTTTCACATAAAAGGGGATTTTTATCATAAAGAGGAGCTCGGTCAAAAGTATCATTTTCTCATTTCAGAAACGAGAAGTACAAAAGTTCTTTGGGTTTATATCCTACTTCGATCTGCTTTAAGTCACATATACACATATTCGTTTTTCAAGCCCCTTCTTCTTCTTCTCCTCTTAAAATTCAATTTTACGTTCAAAATTCTATTACCCTCTCATTGAAAAATTTTATTTTCAAATTTAAAATCCAATTTTTATCTATTACAAATGAAAATTTATTCATTTTTTTTTTGGGGGGAAAAATTCTTATCTTTTGTGAAAAATTTTTCAATTAGTGATTATCGTTTCTAAATTGTCGATTGCTCAATAAATCAGAGAAAACATTAGACTTTGTCCTCTTTCTCTGTCTCATATTCGTATATGAATCGCGCTCATATAAAGCCATGAGTTTCATTTCGCTAAAAGGAGGGAGTATACTTTGGTGGCAGTAGCGCTCAAAGGCACCTGGTTTCACGTCGATAAATCGTCGACGAAACTATGTCCTCCTTCTTTTTTACATTTTCTGTCTTTCCTCATTCTTTTTTCTTTATTTTTTTTGCGATTTTCTTTCTTATGATATTCAGTGATGACAAACTGAAAAAAATTCAAATATTTGCTCAAATAATTATCCAATCAAAAATTTACTACTGGCGCAGTACTGGCGCAGTACTGACAAGTAATGGCGCAGTACTGGCACCCAGTATTGGCACCAGTACTGGTAACCACTGCTGGTTCAGTATTGGCCGAGTACTGGCAGTTTTGTAATTTCTTTTATACGAAAAGAAAGCATTAACTGTAACACACTGAAAAAGAACTTTATTTGATTCAAATACTCGATTACTTGAATATTATCAAATAAATATTTACTTGAACCAAATAATTTTTAATTGAATTAAATAAATTGTATTTGAACCAATAATTTTTGTACTTGAACCAATAATTTTTGTATTTGAAACAAATACCATTTAATTATTTGATACAAATAAATATTTATTTGATAATAGTCAAGTAATCGAGTATTTGAATTAAATAAATTTTTTTTTTCAGTGCAGAAATAAGTTTCACTGTAATAGTGAAATCTCTGCTTCAGGTAATATTTTTTTGGTATACTTAGGGAAAAGTGTCTGAAATTTTTAGTAACCTACTCTCTAAATCTGAATTAGTAAAAATGTTTACTAATTTGAATTAGTGACTCACTGTTTACTTCTGAATTAGTAAAATTTTACTAATTGTTAGTAAAAGTTACTAATAATTAGTAGAATTTTACTAATTGAGAAGCAAAAAGTGAGTCATTAATTAAAATTAGTAAACATTTTTACTAATTCAGATTTAGAGAGTAACACAAATTAAATATTCAGTTAGTCAATTAACTAATTAATATTTTATTATATAAAATCGAAAACACCAAGAATTTTTATTCTTTATTATAATATATATTGCAAATTATTATTTTAAAAAAGCAAAAATTAAAAATATATTTATTATAAAACCAAAGTTGTGAGAAAAAAAAAGTATACGTAATTTTTTGTAGCTTTATAAATTTTCGTGCAAAAATTTTTAAATTTTAAGTTTTTTTTTCAAAAGTATAATATCTGTTTTTTAATCACATATATATTTGCATCAAAATGAATTTTTGAAAAACTTTTTTTAAGAAAATAAAAGTTGTTTTTTGATTTTTAACAAGTGTTGTCAAGTAAATTTTTTTTAATTTTTATTTAAAAAAATATAAATTATAAACAAATTTTTTTATTTTGATCGTTTAAAATTTTTTTTTTTCTTTATTGCATATCTGAAAACTATAAGAAAATCTTGCAAAATATTTTAGGCTTGGTTTCAGGAAACTTTTTGTTTAAATAATTTTTACCCACAGAAAAGCGCAAAATAAAATACATTTTAATTTTGAAAAATAAAATTAAGGTGAAAAAATTTTTTATAAACAAAATATTTAAACAAAAAGATTCATCGGGTTCACTCTAGAAATTTTTTTAAACTAGTATTAATCAAAAAGAAAATTTATTTGAGCCAGTACTGGCTCAATATCGGCTCAGTACTGGGAATGTGGTACTGGAACAGTACTGATACAATGAAAATACCAGTACTGGTTCAGTACAGACTGCCCAGTCTCGGCAGCCAATACTGAACCAGTACTGCGCCAATAGTGAAATTTTTGATATTGAATCAAATTGTATTTATTTCAAATAAAAAATATGTAATAAAAATTTGATATAAATAATATATTTATATTATATAAATAAGATAATCTTCAATAAACTTGATAAATATTGAAATAATCTGTTTATATCTGAGATATTAAATTAATAAATAAGATTTATCAAAAAATATTCAGTCTCTTTGAAAGATAGAGAAAACATGAATTTACATAATGATGTGCTAATGATTAGCATATATATATATATATATACGGGTTTTATTTTATTAATTATTGCCATACCATTAATTGAAGCATTAGGTTTACTTGGTATGATAATGACCGTTATTATACTCTGATGTGTTAATTACCGTAGTCTTTAAAAAAGATATGAAAAACTGGATTTCACTTATATATGCGTTACATTTTCATTTTTGGTCCAAAATGCACACACAATCTAATGTTAATAGTTCTTCTTTCCTGGTGTAATTTCTCATGAATAATGCCCTCACCGCTTTAAGGAAGGATAAGAACTGGTAAAGAGATTTAAAAAAAAAAAAAAAACTAGTTTTAACTCCCGGTGAACGTGAGAGTATATTTTGCGTGTAATTAGTGCCTCTACTTTGCACCAATAAGAGATTCTTATAAAGAAAGTTGTTTTATAATTGGATTCTTTTTTTTTTTTTTTAAAAAAGAGATTTTTATTAGAAAAATAGTCCTCTTAAAATTTTTGCAACTGTCGAAGTCAACGTGTGTCTCATCGTCCCTTTCTCTTTGCGATGCAAGAGATAAATAAGCTTAGCGTGCAACGAACTGGTTCTTCCTGTATCACTAAACGAGCATGAAAACACTATGGGTTGCACACGAGGCAATAGCTATCAGTATTCTCAGGTCCCTCTTTTCCAAGTCTCATGCTATACTCGCCCAATGAATTCCAACAGATTTCCTCCTCTTTTTAAAAAAGGGGAACTATTTTTCTCTCTCTCTGTATTTGTGGATTTCAGTTTCAAGTGATTTCCGTCCTAACCGCAAAAAAATGAAACAGAGATTAAAAGTTTGTCACGTGAAAGATAATTTTTCAAATGTTTGAAAGTTCTTTTATTTTTGAAAGAAAATTATTTTCTAATTGAAAAGAAACTATTTTTACACTGTAAAACGAAAGGTATTAATTTAATACCTACTTTAGGTACTAAATTGTTATTTGGTTCTATTTTGATAACTAAAATCGGTACTATTTTAGTACCTTCTTTTTACAGTGTAGTTGCATCTTTTTTTTTTTAAATAATTCTCAGCTTTAAATCTGAATAAATTTTTGATGAAAGTTAAAGGAATTAATATTGTTTCACTTTTTTTTATTATTATGTACCCGAGTTAAGTATATAGCTGTTGTCCTATAAAGAAATTCATTGAATATTAATAAAATTTTATCAAATTTATTGAAGTTTCATCTCTCAGTAAACAAAATACAAATTTATCTTTTATGTTTGAGAAGAATTATATAATACTTATATTCATTTTGAAACAATGAAATATATTTTTGAAAGTTATTGTTTTCTCTTTCGCGAGGAAATAATATTCGAAACAAGTCTTTTCTGAAAAAAAAGAAGAAGTATATAGCTGGAGGATAAAAAACCGTTTTAATTTCAGTATTTTCATTTTGATCAGTGTCAACGATGAATCATTGTTCTGCAGACAGCAGAGAAAGTCATTTCCGTTGATTTTTGATAGCGTCGAAACGCACAATCCGAGTTCAAACGTTGACTTTTGAAGAATAGATTTCCTTATTGAAATTTCTATAACCGAAAAAAATTTCAATTTAAAAGAATTTTTTTTTTATTTAAAATTAATACTTTTTTTTTTTGTTTCTTGAAAAGACAGAGGAAATATAAAATCAGACACAAATATAATTTGTACAACAAAGAGAAACTTGAAGCAACATTGCAAATTATTGTTTAATATCTTTATGAGCGTAGAGGCGCAGTAATAAACTTCCGAAATTTTGAGAGAAGATAAGTTCTAGAGTTTGATATATAGTTAGAAGCTCGAGATTATTCATTCAAGTTTAAATTAATTCTTGACTCCTCTTACTTCACTGGTATAAAATCAACAGTTTTCCTTGTGAATTCAAAGGAGAACAAACAAAAGTTCCTGTCATGACAAAACGGAAGTGTGAGGGAAGAAGAACTGTTTTTGTCTGGTGACGATTTCTCTCTCTCTCGTTTTCTCTTTTTTTTTTGGTTTTTTTTTTTATACAACATACAGGGCGTGTCAAGAACCAACCGTAATCAATCTCGTGGACTTTATATCGATTATTATTGCTGGTTTCTCTTCACGAAAGCTTCATTAAAAAAGCTCGTTGAGAGGAAGCTCGTTAACTCGTTATACGCTCTGATACTGCCGAGTCCTATTAAAAGAGAGAGAGTATAAAAGATGAAAAAAAAGAAAGCACACACATAAAAGAAAATAGTAAAAAATAAAAATACATGTAATCCTTTCTTTCCGGAGTATCGAATTGGGATTCATATTCCAAAAATTTCCACCCTTTTTCATAAATGTAAAAGCCCTCTCTTGATATCAGATATTGAATTTCGCGTAACGTTTTATCTTTTACCACTGTAAGAGAAATTTTAAAATTATTTTCTAAATTTTGTTTTTTTTTTGTCAATGTTTCAGGATAGAGAAGAGCGGCACAAGGAAGCAGCAGCTTCCAGCGCCGTACACAACAGAGTGGGAGAACGAAGAAGAGAGCTGCTCCCTTTAGGGTAGGAAGTAGCTTAGAATGAACATCTTTGGGAGCATGCAAAGGATGGCCGCAGAAATATTATTCGTTAAGCGGCTTTCGCTACTTCTTCTTCTTCTTCTGGTGTTGCCAAAATTTCATGGACAAATGCATTCAACACCAAATGTTGTTGTCAATAAATTTCATGATCCCGAAGTTGAAAGAATGAATCATCTTGTTGTCGATAAAAATACTGGTAGAGTTTATGTTGGTGCAGTCAATCGAATTTATCAATTGGCTCCCGATTTAAGTATGGTTGTTAAAGTGGTTACGGGTCCAAAGAAAGATAATCCCGATTGCTCAATGATGGATTGTCCCAAGGATGTTGAAAAGAAATTAACTGATAATGTTAATAAGGCATTGGTCATTGATTATACAACATCAAAATTGATTTCATGTGGTAGCCTCTTTCAAGTGAGTAAATTTTATTTTTCAAAAAAATTAAAATTTTATTTTCTAAATTCAAAATTTATTTCAATCATTTTGTCTTAATATTGCATTAAATTAAAAATTATATATAGCAGGAGAGGAAGCAAAAAAATTTCAAATATTTTCCGTTGTAGAACAGAAAAGTAATTTATAATATAAACATGTATTCTGTACTTAGTTTTGTATATTTTTTTTTCATCCATAAAGTAGAGGATATTTGATTAATATTAAAAATAATTTTTTCTTATCGTTAAGTGTTTATTGAAACTTGGTTTTTTTTAAAACATAAAATTTTTTTTTGTTTATATATTATATTAAGTACGATGTAGTCATTAAGTAAAAACATGTAAATAACTTCCTCATTTAGATAATGCAAATTTTATCACTACTATTTTCTGATAAAACAGTACGGTTATGTTTATATTAAATGTAACTATTTTTTTTTTTATTACTATTAGCTGGGAAATTTTGAATTAAAAATATTCGATATTTTGAGTTTTTTCACTGCATAAATTTTGATTATTAGAATATATTTAAAAAAAAGTTAACTGAACTTATTTTAAAATCGTACAAATGTTATTTGGATATGGAAACTTTTTTTTTCAATTTGAATGAAATGAAAAAGTGAATGAATAAAATAAATAAAATTAAGAGTATTTTTTTTTGTTTTGAAATTGTAAAACAATGATAGTGTGCGTTGCTTATGTTTCATTCATTGGAAAGATTATAAAATTGTATAGGTATATATCTTGAGTTCGAACACACATGTGCGGTATTAACACATAATCCTCTGATTATATTTTACAGGGAATGTGCACCGTTCGTAACCTGCACAATATCTCGGATGTTGTGCAAGAAGTACGTGAACCAGTGGTAGCGAACAATGGTACAGCATCGACAGTAGCGTTCATTGCTCCAGGCCCACCAAATCCGCCAGTGTCTCAAGTAATGTATGTTGGCGTAACATACACTGGGAACTCACCTTATCGATCGGAAGTACCTGCAGTGAGTTCAAGATCTCTTGACAAGGACAAGATGCTCAACATTGCTGAGTCCGCTGTAACTACCGGTACAAGAATGTATGTCAATTCACTTTCAAGAGAACGATATCCAATCAATTATATCTATGGATTTAGTAGCGAGGGCTTTAGCTATTTTCTGACCACCCAAATGAAGAATACAGACGCATCAATTTATATTTCCAAATTGATTAGAGTTTGTCATGACGATCAACATTATTATTCATACACTGAAATGCCAATTGATTGTATAAGCGATGGCAAAGTTTATAATCTCATTCAAGCGGCGTACGTTGGAAAAGCTGGCTCCGATTTGGCCTCTGATCTTGGTATTGTTGCACAAGATGATGTTTTGTTTGCTGTATTCTCAGAAAGTGATGGACCCAATACAAGTCGACCACGAGCTCAAAGTGCACTTTGTGTTTATTCACTCAAGGCCATTAGACGGAAGTTCATGAAGAATATTCAGAAATGCTTCAGCGGCGAAGGCCAAAGGGGTCTTGGATTCATCTCTCCAAGTCATCAGTGCGTGCTAACGGTGAGTACTTATTTTATTATGTAATTACAAATGTGAAGATGCACATTTTATGTATGCGAGTAAATACCTTTAACCTTTACCTTTTCCATTCTCACATATATATATATATATATATATACATATATATGCTATACGACTCAATTATTGCCACTATATTCAAGAGAATTGCTTTCAAATTAATTTTACCTGACGAATTCGAAATTCAATTTTTTCGCTATAGGTTAAATTAATTTGAGAGACACAAAAATTATCCCTTAACTGGCACTCATGGGTCCAGCTTATCGACTGATGGTAAAAAAAATTTGAAAAATAAAAATATAAAAAAATACCGACACAGAAATCTATCTTACCGACAGATGGTATTTAAAAAAATGAAAATATAAAAGTTATCGACATAGAAACCTACCTTACCGACTGAGAGTTAAACAGTTTTTTAAAAATATAAAAAATTACCGACACAGAAATCTATCTTACCGACTGATGGTATTTTTTAAAATGAAAATTAAAAGTTATCGACATAGGAACCTACTTTACCGACTGAGAGTAAAACAGTTTTTTAAAAATATAAAAGATATACCGACACAGAAATCTATCTTACCGACTGATGGTATTTTTTTAAAAAATGAAAATATAAAAGTTATCGACATAGATACCTAGCTTACCAACTGAGAGTAAAACAGTTTTTTAAAAAAATAAAAATATAAAAAAATACCGACACAGAAATCTATCTTACCGGTATTTTAATACCATCAGTCGGCATGGTAGATTTCTATGTCGGTAATTTTTTGTATTTTTATTTTCCAAAAACTGTTTTACTCTCAGTCGATAAGGTAGATTTCCATGACAATAACTTTTATATTTTCACTTTTTTAAAAAAATACCATCAGTCGGTAAGACAGATTTCTAGGTCGGTAATTTTTTTTATATTTTTATTTTTCAAAATTTTTTACCATCTTGTTAATTTTTTAACCATTCATGTAATTATTAATTTTTAATTTTAATCTAAAAAGTCACATTTTATTCTGCAAAATTTACATTCGAACGCGGAATTGTTCCAGTTAAGGGGCATAACAAAAAAAAATATAGTTGAAAATTAAATCAGATACAGAAAATACAGTTTCTTTTACTGGAATAATATTTATTTTCTATAGAAAATTTATTTTGATTCAAATACCAAAATTTATTCAATAATAATCGCCAAGTATAACGGATTGAATTATTTTTTCCGTGTACGTACTGTTATCTAATAAATAATTTACACTCAATTCTAAGAGATTCAAGTTCTCTTCATGTATACTTAACTGTGGGAAGTTACTGTGAAAACTTTTTTCTTTTTTTAGTTGTACTTTTGAACAAGAAAAAAGTATAGGATTTTTTTTTTTTGCAAAAAGTTTTTTAATTGACAAAAGTGAATTTTTAATTAAAATATATATTTAGTATCTTTTGGAGAAAAAATAGATTCTTTAAGAGAATGTTGAACTTTCGTATTACCCAAGTGTGAAAAGAATGTGAAAATTCGAGATATTTAGAATAGATTTTTTTTTTAAGGAAAATCTTTGTAAAATTTCGCAAAAAGTATTTACAACGTCAGGGTAAATTTATTAATTTGAAAACATTTTATTAAAAACAAATTTAAGTAATTTAAAATAATTAAAATTTTCATACTAAATTAATTCAGATTTAGAGAGTTATTACAGTAAATTCAAAATTTTACATGAATTTTACTCTAGAGAAAAGTGAATGGTTTTAATATTGCAACAACAATTTCAGTTTCCTCTCATTAAAAATTTGTTATCCTCGTTACAACTTGGATTTATTACAATACTAAAACCTTGTTAATAAAATTTACTCTATATAACAATAATTTACATTTTATTTGACTCTCTAAATTTTATTAAGTAAACATTTTTTGATGATTAATTTAAATTAGTGACGTGATTTTTTTTTCTTTTAAGCCAAATAATTAGTCTAATAGACTTTGAGATAAATATATATATATATATATACGTTTATTTAACTCAAATATATTATATTTGGTTTAAATAAAATATTTCTCTGGGTGCAGAGGTTCAAATATTTAATTTAAAGAAAAATTATTTGTTCCAAGTAAATATTTATTTGATAATACTTAAGTACGCCTAAGGAACTGTTATATATATATATATATATATATATTTATCTGAACCAAATATAATATATTTGACTTAAATAAACGTATATTTGTCTCAGAGCCAACCACCTTATTTATTTGGTGTAAATAAAAATTTTATCGTAAATAAAATTTTTACTTAGTGCAAATAAAATTTATATATTATCACTTGACTAAAGCGAAATTTTCTTTAATAAATATAAAAAGAAAATTTAGTCTTTGCAACAAAATTGTTTGATTAGGCAATTTTGGTTCTTGTAACCAAATTTTGGTTGGCTGAAACAAAGTCGTAGAGTTATCTCAACCAAACATTTTTGTTATGCCAACAAAAAACACTCAACCAAATTTTTTGGTTGACTCAAACAAATAGTTTGGTTGCTTAAATACCAACAAAAATTTTTTTGTTTGCCCAACCAAATTTTGGTTGCTCTGACTAAACATTTTTCTCAGTGTATTTAAGAAGAAATTCTTAAATCTAGAATATAATTTTTTCAGTGTATAAGTGGGATTTATTTTTTTTTTTTTTTTGTGTGTGTGTCTATGTTGAACATTTTGCGATAAAATCAGTTGCAATGTCTGGTCATTGACCAAAGAGTGACGAAGTATCAGGGAATAAAGATGCATGTGCAATTTACTTTTGACTCTAATTACACCGCGCGCGGTGTATATAAACTTCACATGGGCATTGATGATTATTTTCCATGTCTCATTAGAGATTCCAAGAGACATAAATAACGACATCTCGACACGTTTAACAAGTGCTACATAGACATTCGGAGAAATTCAATTTGACTTCTCTCAACGGTATTTTATAAATAATTAATCATCTTGAGAAAGAGAGAGAGGGCGATAAAATATTCTCGAGACATCGATTCGCCCTTGCGTTAAGTCGATATTATACCTTTTGCCAAGTCTCGATTTGCGCCCCCTGCATTGATTTGCATTCTCGGTAGCTTCTCTTCTCTCTCATCTTCTCTCGTCGCACAACCCACTAACCGCTTGAAAGTTTCGTATTGCATTTATATATATATATATATAGATATGTTGAACGCGCCTACGCGTAACTGAGGGTTCCGTGCTCATCGCACTTTGTGATCTGACTCTATATCCTTCTAGTATTAACAGAATGTAAGCGAGAGTATTACCATGGATATATCATGCGCGTTTGCATAATCTTTCAGATTTTACTTCATGAGATTGCAATTCTATAACCGGAGATCTCTTACCCTTGGTGTAATCAAGACACTTGATTGCAATCGTAATTATTTCTTCATTTTTTTTTTGTTTTGTTTTTTTTCCCCCTTTTCTCAAAGATTTATTTTGTCATAGGGAGAATATAAAAAGAATCGTTACAAGAATCTGTATTTTCTACACTAAGAGAACAGAGAAAATTAAAAGGCATTAAAATAAGCTGCAACTCTTATTATTTTAATCCATTTTGGTATTAAAATAAGCAAAATTGGATTAAAATAATAAACGTTGCAGCTTATTTTAATAACTTATAATTTTCTGTGAAAAGATATATTTGTCTCAAGACCAAAATAAATATTTGCTCTAAATATACGTACTTTATTTGCGTTGAATAAAATTTTACTTGTGCTAAATAAATTTTTTTATTCAAAGCAATCACAGAAAATTAATAGGCATTAAACTAAGCTGCAACGCTTCTTTTTTTAATCTAAATTTGCTTATTTTAATCCATTTTGGTATTAAAATAAGCAAAATTGAATTAAAATAAGAAGCGTTGCAGCTTATTTTAATACCTTTTAATTTTCTGTGATAAAGTAATTTGACTCTGAGACAAATTTACTTTTAATTTGCATCGAATAAAATTTTTTTTGTTTCAAATAAAAGTGATTATGGGTCAGAATTTCTCAAACGGATCACCTAAAATTCAGAAATTTCTTTTTTTAGTCTCATTTTTTTTCTCAACGGTTTCTTACACAAAATTGTGTGGGGAATTCAAAAAAAAAAAATTTAATTTTCTGTAGGACGTCAAGAACACTATTTTTTAATAACATTTTATAAATAAATAATATAAAAATCTATTAAATATGAAATTTTTTCAAAATAAAAATTATATTTAGAAACTACATTTTAAGACGAGAAAAAACCCTTTTTTTTTAATTGGTGAACAGGAACTCGAGAAAAAAATTTTTTAAAATAAGACTGCAAAAAATTTCAATTGTTTATGACTTTAACAAAAAAATTTTTTTTTGACCTAAAAATTTTAGGGACTTATTTTTATCATGTAAGGAGTCAAAAGAAATGATTTTTGATTAAAAAAAAATTTCTGAATTTTAGGTGATCCGTTTGAGAAATTCTGACCATTAGTAAAATTTTTAACATCTGTTTTTTGTAAATTTAATAGATCAGTAGTAAAAGACGATTTCAGTAAGACAATAATTTCTAGTTATATTTAAATGCCAGTAGTAAAAATTAGACGGCAAATTTTTCGGTACCTTTTTCAATTAGTAGTAAAAGTCATTTATAGTCAGACAAAAATATCGTTTGAAAAATTCAGTGGTAAAAGAATGGTTTTAGTATTAGTAGTAAAAATCCGCTATAGTCAGACGAATATTTACTAGGGTTTTTTTTTCTAAATAAAGCATAAGTAGTAAATGACAATTTCAGTCAGACGTAATTGTTATTTAATTGCCAGTAGTAATGGTAAATGTCAGTCAGACGGAATTAAAATTCTTAGTAATTTTTGCATCAGTAGTAAAAGTCTATTATAGTCAGACAAACGTATTCTTAAGGTTTTTTTATAAAATGTGAGTAGTAAATGTAATTTTTCAGTCAGACCTAAAGCTTTGGAAACAGCTATGAATTGTTTTTACAACTTTTATAA